TCTCTTAGCGAAATTAGAGGCCTGACTTTTGAAATCTAAGCACTTTTGTCCATCTGTCTTTCTTCAAATAGAACACATTTAAAAGCTTAAATGGAGGCTAAGTGCTCTTCCACTAAAAACATTTTGGGGAGGGTTATGAATTTCTTTAGATAAAACGACTGCTGGCTCCAGCTGTAATGGTTTGAAAATACTAGCCAGAAGAAATCCAAGTTACAGGCTTCTCTTAAATTTCATTCCTGCAGTCTGCAAAAGAGGTCTAATACTTGCTATGAAATTGTCCCCAACTTCAGGGAACCTGCAATGTTTGACCTGGTTCAGAAGCAAATGGGATGGAATGGCACTGAATGACAGATTTTTATTTTTTTTTATCCTGCTGTCTTTAAATACTAAAAGACACTGACATGCATATTATTTTCTCCTACCCTGATTTAATGAATTTCAGAATTGTAGCAAGTTTTCATGCGCTTCCCCTTCCCCCTCCCCCTTGTCCCCCTAATCTGGAAAAAGTTAAACAGTTATAACAGCCATGACTGTCCTCTAGTGAGGATTACAATTATAGACCCTGATTCCAGTCTGGACATGCACACAACCTGTTTCAGTTTATTGGGTCTCCATATGAAGTTGTTTGCGAGAGTGAGGCCTTAATGGTTCTGAAGAGGAAGTCCAGAAATCGGAAGGAAAGGTTAGTGGCTTTGAAGTGGCTTTCCATTCCTTTTGCTATTTCATGTTGGCATATAACACATGGAGTACGATTGTCCATTTCATTTGTGGCAGGACTGGAACGCTGCTTCTATCGTAGATCTGTATTTGTAATCTTTCGGGTCTGAAGTTGGATGCTGGACAGCTCTAGGTCTGTGGAGTAAGCAGCAACCCAGTTTGGTCTGGAGTTTAAAGTTGCATACAAATTGTTGCAGATAACTAGTTTCGAGGTGTCAGAGGCTGGCTTCATGTCAAGCATGTACCAATTTAGGCTAAGAATTCTTGCTGTGGGTGCAACCACGTGAACATTGGTTTCACACCTAATGCTGTCTTTGCACTCCCAAAACAGCTCTTGTGAAATGTTCCGAGTCATCTGCCTGCCTACAAACAGTTGTCAGCCTGGGGCCAGAAATAATCTGTAATACGGCATTCCCATAAGCAGCTGAGTTAATGCAGACAGTTTGAAAGGCGTTTTCGGTCCTATTTTGCTGTTGCCTATCATCCGTTTCCCTACAGCAGTGTCACAACGTGGGGATCTGTTGAAAATGGAATCCTGGCAAGAGCGCCGGTTGAGTCAGCCTTCAAAATTTTGTGCTGATTGTTTCTGGCTTGTCACAGGATATCTTTCATCTATAGGATCATGTAACATTTAAGGAAACAATGTGCCTCAGGAATATTTGCATGTCCGTGGTGGCAGATATCTCTGGGATGAGATGAAAGAGCTGGTACTAGTCATGGTTGAAGCTTGTTGGTGCTTGTAGTTGTTTGTGGTGGGCAGAAGTCACCGCCTTATGGGCAAAGGTTTTGAAATATTTTCTTTTGCAGCAAGATAGCAAGTCTTCCAGTAGATTTTGAGATTAACCAGAACTTCTTTGTTTAGGGGCTGTGACCGATCTGCAAGAACAGACTTTTAAATTCAGATTGTTAGCAATATGTGACGAACCAGACTTGGGTTTTAGATGGGATTTTTCCTCCTTGGCTAGAGTTCAGTCACGTTGCTCGGTCACTTTGTTCTGCTATCTGCTGTAAGTTAAAAGCAGTGTATATGTATTCAGATATCACACACACAGTACTGAATAATTTCCAGTTCAGAAGGGAAAGAGCTCTCTCTTCCTTTGCTTGGCTCCAGGAATTTTTATAAAACACCAGCGTTACTGGTGTGCTCGTTTTAAATAAACGCAGCTCCATACTGAAAGCAGAAGGTCTTGCTGCTTATCAGTCTATCGGCATTTTGTGAAGCTGTGGTGCATCGCTCAAAGATCTTGTTTAGATGTGTTGGTTTGCTACCCCTGGATAGCTAAACTTGGTAAATGCCTACAATAACTTCATCGGTTACAGCTGGGTTTTGATGGTTGGCAGCATTTTGGAGCCACATTTTAAATTTCTTTGAGACTAAGGAAATGCTGTCAAGTGCCTCCTGAGGCAAGAGTCAAGGGAAATGCGGTTTTATTATAAGAGGCTTACAGCAGGGTTGATTAGCGTGCATGTGTTGGCGGTAGAGGACAGCTCTAGCAGGGGTGTGAAACATAGTGCTTGGGCCAGATCCAGCCCGTGTGTGTCTGACCCTGTGCACCATGGGCGCCACATGTGGCACAAGGGATTGACCTGGGATACTTGCCTGTGCCAGACCAGCCCTGTGCATTGGCTCCAGCGTGGCCTGATTAGACCCACAGATTGGCTCAGCAACCTTCATTTGGCCTATGGGGCTGGAAAAATTTGACCCTATTGTTGTATAGGAACGAGAGAGAGGTGCTGTCCAGTTCTTGGTTTCACATTGCAACTGTTGGCAAAGATGCTCTATTGTAGCCTCTGCTATTAGATAGTTGAGGGTTCTTTTTGGGTTTTTTTAAGGAACCTGTACCTTTTTTGTGTACAATCTGATGTTAAAGGCATTTCTTATAGCACTTCAAAGAGTATCTATATTGCAGTCTTCAGCTTGGAATAATTTAATAGCTTATTGAATTTTGGTACAAACAGTATTATCTGCTTTATCATCCTGCTGATTTGAGCAATGTTAATAGACACCGAGAAGTTCGTACAGAAGTTAAAATTATGCTGCTGTTTAGGAATATACAGCCAGGAATACAGAAATGTTTTTTGCGAAGTAGCTCTTACCCAGTGAATTCAGATATTGAAGTTACAGCAGAGATGCTCGTCCATTGTTCTTGATACCTCTTGAACTTTTTAAAATAAAATATGGTAAAATAAAACCGCTATGAATTACCCCAGATTAAACTTCATAACCCACAACATAAAGTATATATAGTTAGAAACACCATCCTGCATTCGGTATCAGAGCCAGTTCTTTGGAGCACTCTTGATTTAAAGCTGTACCCTTGTTGGACTTCATACTTCAAATAGGCTCTCAGTTTACTCTGCTTACATCTGCAGTAATTTCTTTCCATGTCTTTCTAATGCTCTAGGGACCTACTTCTCACGCCTGGTCCCTCTAAAACTGGTCTGTCTCGCAGGTGATTATCAAGTGAAAAATGATCAAGTACACAGTTGGCTTGTAAACTGGAATATTTGGTCTATATGCTGTTGTGACAGGGGAAAGTGCTCACTTTGATTGGAAAGGAAGACATTCATTGTTGTAAGGAATCCATAATTGACAGTTGGAGGGGAAGGGAATGCAAAGGGCATTTCTCTACACCGCAGCTTTTCTGTTTATTCCCTTTCACCTGCTAGCACTGGCAGCCTTAGGGAAAGGCAAACCGGGCAACCATCACACTTTAGGGGGCCCCAACATTTTGCAACAAATGTCCAACTTGGTTTTAGGTAATCAAAATTAAGCCTCCAAGGGGCCCCAAATGAGACTTACTCAGGGCCCCAACAATCCTAAGGCCACCACTGCTGATAGAGTAGCATAGTTGCATCTGGAATTATTGCAAAACAACAGTATTGCCAGGACTCTATCTGCTTTAAATAATAATAATAATAATATTATCTATACAGTATGAATGCTGCAGATTATAGACCATACTTGCAGGGTGCGTAGAATACAGACCCTATGTTCTTTCTACATGGGTGCCCGATGGGGAACGGCTGTCCTGCCAGTAGTTCACTAATGCTGTCAGAGTTGGAGTTTTGGATCTATTTGCCATGTGCATCTGTTCTACTTACGAATATTACAGTCATTTATAACTCTGTAGGCTCCTCTTTAAATAAGTAACTAACGTTCTGGTAACATTCACCAGAGCAGATGGGGGTTTTTTAAAAATGTGAATGGTTTCCTGAAAAGGCTTGCTCTGGACTGCTGTGACACAATGATTTAACTCTTCCTGGTGTCTCACCTGTTCAGCCAAGTCTGGGATGGAGGAGTGTTAGGGAAGTGAAATGTGGTGGGAGTATAAGGCCAGAGGAAAGTAGACCCTGTCCTTTATGCTTTGTATTAAACAGATGTCAAAGCTAGACGCCTTTGAGAGAAATGAATAACAAATGGCTACTGGAGGCAAAGACCCTTGCGTATGGACTACATTAAAACCTGGTGTTAGCAGGCTGGAGTTTCTAAAAAGCAGCTACACAAAGACTAGGGATATCTTTTTTTTTTTCTAAACTAGCAGTGATATATGTAGGAAGGTTTCCACAGGGGAAATGAAAAGGAGAATGTGGGTTTACAGAATGGGAATTATAAAATGCTCAAGCAGACCAGCAAAAGAGCTCCATTAGTTGTCCAGTACCAAACCTTTCGTTACAAGCCCACCACTCCTTCCACACCTGCAGAAATTAATTGCAGGAACCACAGCTTTGCAAACCCTGTTAAATCTTTCTTGCTATTCAGATATTTTCCTCAAACTAAACAAAAGTGGTTTTTGTTTTCAGAGCAAATTAGTGGAAGTGAACTTGGGTTTTATTTGTAGACTATAAAACAAGCTTAAATCCAAACGAATCTCCACCTAGGCTACTCAGGTTAGTTGGACTTTACCTGCAAAGTCTTTTAAATATGCAGTTTTAATAGCTGCAGCTCTAAGTTAGAGCTGGGGCAGTGGGGGGGGAGGTTGGGTTGCATTTTTTTTAAAGGAATTAGGAACCAAACACAATTATAGGTATAATGGAAGCACAAAGATAAGAGGGAATCCATGGGGAAAGCTAGAAGCAATAAACTTCTAGGAGTCTGGGTCCCTTTGCTATCAATGTTCAAAATGGCTGTTTATGACCAGGTTCTGACAGATTAATGCTCCTTGATAATGGCATTTCTTGAAAGTTCAAACATCTGTAGTTTGGGCCTGCCCTTTTCAAAGCCTTTCAGAGTTTGTTTCGATTTGTCTGAGCTTCTCTTTCTCTTCTTGCCTCCCCCACAGATCACCGTGGAGTAACAAATATGATCCTCCTCTGGAAGACGGTGCCATGCCATCTGCCCGCCTGCGCAAGCTGGAGGTGGAAGCCAACAATGCCTTCGACCAGTACAGAGACTTGTATGTCAGCTCTACCATTTCAGAGCTCTCTGCTTTCTTTGCTTCCTTCATTTGCACATCATAACTGCACAAACGGGGAGTCTAAGAAACGTCGTTACTAACAGCCTTTGAGAATGGCTTGCCGTACATTACAGGAGGTAGAAGGGTTGCCAAAGGCTGCTTGATTTCTGCTGTACTTTTAAGTTTGTAACGTGAATAGAGGAAAGCATGTTCAAATATGGCAGATGATGCAAAAGCTGAAATCTGAAGGGCATAAGAGATCAGAGTTCTTTCCCGGCCCATTTTTTTTGTGCACAGGCACTTCCCCTTTCTTCCCCTCCCTCTTCCTCCAGTTGCAGCCTTGCTCTGAAATGACCCTGTGTGCTTATTGATCTTGGCCAGGTTTGTCCTTAAATCAATTGTTCTCCACTTGCACTCAGCACTCCCAAATGGTGTTCTCGCCAAAAAAAAACAAAAAACAACCCCCCCCCCCCCAAAAACCCAACCAAAAAAAAAAAAAAAAACAACCCCCCCCCCCCCCAACAACCCAACCAAAAAAAAAAAAAAACAACCCCCCCCCCCCCCAAAAACCCAACCAAAAAAAGAAAAAAACATTTCAACGTCTGAGGAAAATCAACTGTGTAAAGAAACTTGCAGTTAAATGTATAACCTACTCTAAAATAATACACACAGATGTGCTGAAGCTTAAGTCGTGTGTGGTTGTTTCCCCATGGCTTTTTGTGTAAGGATTGTTCTGTGACACCTTGCATATCTCCAAACAGCAGATCCTACAGCAGGGAGGTAATGTTCCCTTCCTCACTTGGCTGGTGGACTGTTGGGTGACTTCGGGCAGAATAGCTCATCTGTGTCCATGTTCCCCATCTGATAAAATGCTCATCTCCTTTGTTAAGCGCTTGGAGATGTATCGGTGGAATGGGCTGTATAAAAGTTTGGTGTTTTTCATACCAGCAGAGAGGGAATTACGTTAAGAACTTTGCAGTCAAGTGCAATATCTTGTTTTCTGTTTTTATGTCATCAGTCAGTCCAGGTAGGCCAGTTCTCTTATAAATAGTAGCTCTTATTTTATTCTCTTTTGTTCCACACACTTTAAAATGGGAATTAAGAGGGCACATAGGGAGGTAAAAGGTGGAGTGTTAGAACTAATACATTTGATAGCATCTCTTTTAAAGATGTAATGGCAACAAATCCAAATAATTTTCTTAGTAACTAATTATTACAAAAAGTTGGGACCAGATGGTGTAGACCATGGTTTTTTTTAGTCACTGCTGGGATGTAAATCCCAATTCGATTACTTTCCCAAGGCTCATGTATGTTGCAGACTGAAACATGAACTACAGCATGCCCAATAAGGGGCTTTATTTTTACTGGGGATTTCTAACAACCATAAAAAGTGAGCAAACTTCTAGCTTGTGCATGCTGCCAGAAGCCTGATTAAAAAAAACAGTTTTAGATGCTAGCTCTGATAAAGAGCTATACTTAAGCATGAATGCAAGCAAAAAGTAAAGGTTTTGCTGGATTCCTTCCAAATATTTAAAAAAATAAAAATCCAAGTGTGTGTGTGGCTTGTACACACTCAGACAGTTGACAGTCTGGCATCTGTAGGGAGCAGGGTCTTTCCTGGTTGTACTGCTTTTGTCTGCTGTGCTAGGAAACAGTATAAACAATGTATTGGGCAAGGAGACTGGAAAAGACAGTGCTGTACCTGTGCCAGCGCCCAGGCTGGCTAGAATGGAGAGGGAACAACAATTCAACCACCCTGAGATGGTAAAGAGGGAGCAAACAAGCATCAGAAATCCAGCAGCAGCAAATGGGAATGAACAGGGTAAGGTGAAAGGACTGGAGTTGGTATGGGGAAGGTGGGCAACTGAAATTCTGCCAGCGAGTCAACAGTGGAAAATACGACAGTGCTTGACTAGTTTATTAGAGCTCATCTTAATGTGTACACACAAAGGTCACTAAAATAAGGCTGCACAGAACCTTGTTCTGGCATTTCTTAGCTTGAATGCTTGATTTAATTTTTTTGTAACATTTATCTTTTTATAAAGGGGTTACAGTACAGGGAATCCCACCACAGATTTAAGAATCTCAGTGGTATTCTTAAATCAGAAGATTTTTTTTTTTTAAATCGGGTCAGATGCTTGAAAGGAAGTAATCTGGCAAAACCTTTACCTTTTGCTTGCGTTTATGTTGAAGTATAGCTCTTTATCACACCTAGTATCTATCTATCTATCTATCTATCATTTGTACACACTCGGACACTTGACAGTCTGGCATCTGTAGGGAGCAGAGTCTTCCTTGCTCATACTGCTCTCATCTGCTGTGCTATATATATGCATTTTCCCCCCAAAAAATGGATGTCAAAAAGCAGTCTTTTGAAGTTTCACATACTTGTTCCAAAAAAACCCCTAAAGGTACTATCAGCTTATCAGTGAAATAGTTGGAAGACTGAAATGTGGGCAAAGCTGTGTATTTTTTCCCTAAACTAATTTTTGGGTGAGGTGGGGGTGGGAATTGGAAAACCATATCCCAAGGGAGATGTCCATCAAATGTTCTCCGGAAAAATGACAGTTTGACGGGTGAGAACAAGATAGTTTTAATTCACTTCTGTGCATGAGCCTGCAGTTGTACAACAGTTACTGTATAGCAGCTGCTGCTTGTCTCTGTTGGTCCATACCTCTAAATATACTGTTAATCAGGTATACAATCCCTACAGATTGTATACCTGATTAACTGACAGTTGACAGTCTGGTATCAGGTATACAATTGTGCTGTCAAATCTTGGCTGCACTGTGATGAATGAAGAAAGCGACACATGATGGTCTGACACTCCTGTCAGACCAACCTGGTGGCCTTTTACGACCAGGTCACTAAATCATTGGATGCAGGGGTGGCAGTGGATATAGTTTTCCTAGACTTCAGGAAGGCTTTTGATACTGTCTCTCACCCCATTCTCATTAGGAA